TTTACCCTCTACAGAAAAGGGGTGTCTCCTAGGTTTAAAGAGGTATAGAAGTACTGGAAAGCCGGCCCTGGGTGTCTCTTGCCTCCATACCCTCATCACCAGCTGCCTGCATACAAATTACGGACCCATTGCCACCACCAGCTTTCTCCTAAAGGATGGGGTCCTGTCTGTTCCTCTCTTTATCCCCAGGATACAGCATGGGCACGAGTGGGTTAAGAGTCTCAAGGGGCTTACAGGGTCACATGGCAGGGGATAGTGTGCCAGGTGATACCCACACAGGAGGACAGGAAGCGAGAGCTGCACACGGACTAAAGGGGCGTGGCACGTAGCTGTCTCTGTGCAGGGTACCTGAGTGCTCATGACTGATGGAGGAGGCCCCTCTGGGAGGGACCTGGATGGCAGGTTAGGTGGCAGGGAGGGGCAAGCCAGACAAGAATCAAGGATGCCAAGGACTGGATAAGGATTGAGGGTAGTATGCAACAGAGACTTGTAGTCTACCCAGGGAGGGGTGGGAGTGAGTGCTGGCCGTGGTGGGGTGCAGCAGCAGGGCTCAGGGCAGCAACACGGAAGACCAAGGCCAGGGAAGGGAAGGAGCCATGGGACAGAAGGAAGAGAGAAGGAGCTGGATGACACCTGTTCGGAAGACCCCAGTGGAAAGGGAAGGACAGGGTTTGGAAAGTGCCCCGCCCCAATATGGAAGAGAGGGATGGGGCCTGGCTGACTATATTGGGATAAACACAGCATTGCAGGTGACCCTTCAAGAGAACTGCCAGAGGCCCTGCAGGCTGAGCTTTGGATTGGGATGCAGCACTAGTTGGGCGGGGTGGCTATAGTAAGGGGGGGCAGCTGGGCTACAGCGTCAGGGTGGGACCTCAGGAAGAGCAGGGCCACCTCGGATTATCCTGACCCTGGAGGAAATATGTCAGGAGCCACTGAGGGCTGTGCATAAATCCAGACCCTGCCAGGAACATTTCACCAAGCTTCCACCTTAGTGTGGATGAGTGGGGATCTTGTACATATTTGGTGGGGAGGGGTGCTGGGAGAGAGAATGTCATTATCCTCACCTCTAGGGTAAAAAGATGGATCTGAGAAGGGGCTATGATGGCCCCTAACACAGACCAGCCAACAAGGATGGGGGTGGGCTTAGAGCCTAAACCTTCAGCACCGGACTCTGCTAAGGACCGAAGGGGCCCCTGGCATAGAGTGTCTCCCTATCATTGAGGCACTACTGACTTTCCCTACTCCCTGATATCAGGTTCGCAATCTTTCAGTGACGTCAGTAAGTGGGGGCGGGACAAAAGAGCCCTCCATGCTCTGAACTAGGGTTGGGCAGCTCCCAGATGGCCCCCAATCTAGGAGATTATCAGCTTAGGACAGGGTGTTATACGAGGATCTGTGTCCCAGGCACCAGGGAAACAGAGGAGTTGTGGAGATTCCTGTTGAGCCTTGGTTGGTTGCTCAATACATATCTCATTGGCATTTTCCCAGTATCGATGGGGCCTGCTGAGCTGCCAGCTGTGGGAACTCCCATTCAGAAACAGGCACACAGCAGACAGGCCACTGTTACAGTTACTCTCAATATGTAGTCAATAAAAGCACCTAGACCACCCAGGCTTTTGACTCAGCTCCTCTAACCTGGTAGAAACACCTCAAGCTTCATTAACCCTCCTGTGCACCTCAGCCAGGGTTCCACAGCCAAAATCCCGGGACCAGCAGAGGAAAAGGCAGAGAGCAGCCAGCCTATGTGTAAGGCTCTGTCCATTTGTACCCAGGAATTGGGCTCCAAGGCCAGACTGGGAGAGTGAAGAGGGAGGCCATCTGCAGAGTGCAGTGGCACCAGAGTCCTCCCAGGTGTCGAGTCCCCACCCCAGCTCTCCTCTCTGGGGTCTTCATTGCTAGTTTCATCTCCAGTGACCACCACAGTTCTCTGCCCCCACCAATATAATAGCAACATGTCCTGTGAAGGGAGCCCAGTTGTGACCAACAGGCACGATACACAGTGGTGCCCACAAGGTACCTGGCCTGGCAGCTGGAGAAGAGGCAGAAAACCAGCCTTGGGCCCATGGGCACACTGGAGGCAAGCCACCCTTTCTTTCTCCTTCCTTCCCTAAAATGTGGCACTCAAACATACTGTGAGGCAGTTCTGGGTTCACAGAAAAATGCCTGCCCCTTCTCATGCATGTCCAGAGCCAAGCACTCACCACAGATAACATTGACAGCCATCTTTATAAGTATATTTTTATTGACAATAAAAAATCTCAGTGCTTCCTTCCTTGCAAGGAAGGGGCTGCTGAGTCTTGACATGTGCATCTGCCCACCAAGACAGAACGCCAATGGCACGGTCACCTCCCATACACACACATTGCTAAGAAGGCAGAGTTCAGGTATTTACATTCATGCAATGCAGGTCTCATACTACCTGGGCTGTTCAGGTCATATTTGTACAGATTGGAGTACAGTATTTATATATATATTTGTATAGATAGTTATCTCTTTAAATATATATATATAACTATATATAATATGCCTATTTTTTGTACATCTATTATTCTTTCATCCAAAATGTCCTCTAGAAGGCTTGTAGAAACACCCAGTAACTGACAGATCCTAAATGATGCTGAGTTCTGACACGACTTGACCACAGTGGAAAAAATCTGGGGAAACATGTGGACATGGACCCTTTACCTGACTTCTGCATTCAGGCTGCTCGGCAAACGGCCATGGGGCCCCTTGAAATGATGCTCTAAGTTCACACTCTTGGTTGACATGATTGTGTGGGTTTAAAAACTAGTGGCTTCTATTATGATGTGAATGTGCCCTCTAGTTGGCCAGTGTTGGGCTTGGCGATGCTGTTCTCTAGGGACACCCTTTTAAAACCTAGGCCCTTCCTTTGGTTTCCCCTAAGTGCAGCCTGGGATAATACAAGCCCACTAGAGAGAATTTACATGCATACTAGCCAAGCACAGTGGAAAATCAGCCATGGTCCCTGCTGGCTAGAAGCACACACACCCTAGGCTTCCTAGGTTTAAGCCAAGGTCAGGACGTGGGTACATGGACATCTCAGGCTCTGCCCAGCCCTTCATGTCCCCTGGCAGAGAGCTCCCCTTAAGCTATGGGTGTCCCTTCCTCACTCCTGGGACTTGAGAGTCCAAGGTAGGAGTTGGGGATGTTATGCTCTCCCATGAGGCTCCAGAGTGTGTGTGTTTACAACTAGGTCCCAACCTTCCTATCTGCCCAGTGTCTGCTGCAGGCACAGGCACCAGAAGACTATGGCCCTAGTCTCAATTTAGATCAAGATGGCGGTGGGTATGTGTGTGAGATGGTGAGACACAGGGTATTGGGGTGGAACCCGCCAGGCTTCTCACCCCTGTCTGCCTGTCCCTGATCCACCTCCTCTGGCTTCTTCATCACTTGTAACCACATCCAGAGAGGACTGCCAGGTGTCTCCCTGGGTGAGATGGGGGCAGCCCCACAGCAGGCTCTTGGCAACTGGGTGACAGAGCCAAGGTATGCTGTGAAGGTGAAATTCAAACCCAACCCCAACCCTCAAGCAAAGGAGGGTAAATGTCACTTACAGGAGACAAGCCCTGGACCTACCCTTAGCCTGCACCTATCGACTCAGGGGCAGGACAGTGGCAACTTCAGGGCTTCTATCTACAAGGTACTGATTTTCATGTCCCTCAATTCCCCCTGGCTTTGAAAATCTCATGTAGCACAAACACCCACCTGAGAAGATCTCTGGTGGCTGAGGGGGAGGCTAATGCACTCAGCTAAATCGCTACACTGTGGGGGTGTTGTCCTCTGGTAGGCCAGCTTCCTTCTAAGCAAGTACATGTGGCTGGGGAGGGGAGCTGGGCTAGGGGCCAAGGGCTATAAAAATCACAGGGGTCAAGGGATGTTCCTCACTGTGTGGGTGGCCTCCAGGGAAACAAGCCTGTGGGCAGAGGGTTACCGAGGCTAGATGGTTCTTCCACCACTCGCCCTTCCTCCCACTCTCCGGTGCCTTTGTGAGCCGTGACCCGCAGAAAGCCACTTCCAGAAGCCACCTTCTCCGGGGAACTTTCTGAGTACCAAATTAAGGTTTCAGGGGGCTGTTGGGGGAAAGTGAGGAGGGGGGGTGCACACAGCACCAGACCAGCATTGGCCTGGCACAGAATGACGAGATGGGTTTGGCACAAGTTGTGACCTCTGCCCAGTGAGGCAGGGCCTGGCTCACACTGACACTTCCTGAAAAACCAGGTGTGGGCTATCAGAGCAGGTGCAAAGGGGACCTCTGACTTTCTTGGGACACCCCCAGCCTGGGCTTCTGGGAGATACTGCATCTACTCCCTGGGGACTATGTAGGCTGGGCTCACTGCTTCCTGGGGCAGGCATGCACTCAGGAGCAGCAGGCTAGGCTGTGGGTGGGCAAAGGAGGGTGACACAGGCTCTGGAGACGGAAGACCATGGCGAGTACAGTTACGGACAGATGTGTGGGAAGCACCTTTGGAAGGGGACATTTGTCTCATGGCTATGTGATGGCTTTTGTTAAAATGTCCGCAGAGAAGCAGGTGGGCTTCCTGCATGAGAGTAAGCTTCCAGAATGGGAGAAGTCTCTGGGTCACCTTTCTTCTGACTAAAGTGGGATGTCTTTCTGCCCCAGGCAGGCAGACAGACAGACAGACAGACGACAGACAGACCCTCTACTTTCATTGGAGTATGTGTTTTCAGTGGCAACTGGGTGACAGTCAGTGCGCCCAACACAAGACAAGAAGGAGGCTATGGAGAGCCCTGGGTGGGGCTGCATGCAGGGGAGCCTGACTCAAGCCTGGTGTCTGTGCTGCACCCCGGGGGTTGACCAGGGCTAGCCTGGGAAGAGGATGCTTTCTCTTTCAGGAGGTCCGAGGCCTATCAAGCATGAAGTCCTGGACAGGCGCAGGATCAGCTCACGTCCACCTGTCATCCATGTCCGCCAGTGCCACCAAGGTGCCCTTCCAGCCAGTGGGTCCAGGCTCTGCGGTTCACACCACCGCAGTGTTTACATCCACCCCTTTGCTACTCTGGGATGAGCTCATGGGATATTCAGCAACACTGGTGCCATTTTCGTCTTTTCTCAGTGGTTTCCTACAAAGGATGGGGGAGGGGAGCAAGGACACCATCGTTAGTTGCAGGTGGCTGTGATGATGTAATTTCCAAGCCAGAGTCCACATTAGAGCCTCTGTGGAGTCGATCAGAAGCCAAGTAGAATCTTAACTAGGGTGACCATACAATTCAGGATGTAAACCGGGGAATATTGATAAGGAGGGAGGGGACGGGGACAAGTCTGAACTGGAACTGTTTTGGACAACCCAAATGTATGGTCAGCCTAGTGTGATCAAGCTCTAATCGATCCCTTTGGGAGCCATTGGTTCACAAGGAGTGGCATTAGTAATTGGATTGTGCGTCCTGCCTCTGTGCGATCACAGTAATGGTAAATTCCCAAGTTGAGCCGGTACACGCCAGGAGTGGTTCTTTAACACTTTTCATATCAGAGACCAATGAACCCAAGGTCTAGTCCTCTTATGTATACAAAGGATCAGTAAGGCTAGGAGGGAGGCACTTGCTGAGAGTGTAAAATCACAGTGCTATTCCCTGCCTGGCTGAAGTCCTCTTTCTTTCTCTCACTCACTCATGGGGTACGGGGAGGTCTCTGGCCTCCACCCTGAGTACCTACAATCTTCTGGGCTGTGCAATCTGTGTTTCACACCTCTACACTGCTGTCTCTTAGGTGAAGATGACTCCAGTCACACACAGCTCAGGCACCTCCTATGTCCCTGGAAGTACCCAGATGAAGGACTCTTGCTAAGTATTATCTAAACTAGACATTTAAGGCCATCTTCAAAAGCTCAGGGATTGATTGCTTCTGCCTTCTTAAGCACCCTCAGAGCCTCCTCAAAGACAGGATGAGCAGGCATGGTATTTTGTGATTGGTTCAAAGACCTTTGGAGGGACTCTGCAAAGTCTCAGAAGGCAGGAGGATGACCAGTGGAGCCATGAGATAATCAGGCCTTCTCACTCAACACACTAAAGTCAAGTCTATTTGTGATCCTTTTGCTTATAGAGGAAGTTGTTCATAGAGGAATTCACTCTGGGTGGCTGAGCCTAGCCACTGTGGCTTTCAGAAAGGCAAGATCAAATTCACACTTCCACCCCTGGTGGATCATGCTTTGCACAGAGTCCTCTCAGCTAGAGAAACTCTTGTCATTCCTTAGGGCCTCCTGAATAAGCTAGGCTAGAGTTAAGACAGTCATTTTATGGTGAGAAACTGAGGCTGAGTGAAAGCTTTGACTTGCTAAGGGCCCCAGCTGCATTGCAGTGGGACCTGGACTGTCATCCTTGGCTGACCCCTTAGGTTATCATCCCCAGCAGGCATTTTCCTAAGAGCAGGCTCTGCGGTCCAGTTGCTTGCTTGGGAAAACCTCCTTTCACCTCCTTCCAGATATCCTTCAAAGTCTTACTGAGTTTTCTAGGAAGTCTCTCTTGCCTAGCTATAATCCAGGATGATCTACCTCATGGGGCCCAAGTGCTCCCAGATGCCAGCTCATGTTGATGGTGACATAAAAGGTCCACATGATAAGCAGACTTAGCCTGTCTACTTCCTGGTACCAGAACCAAGACCCTTTCTCTTCTGCTTCTCATACTCTGGTCCTAGCTGTTCCCAAAGCCTTCTGGGAGTCACTGGTGCCAGTGAAAGCTGAACTGTCCCCAAAGCAGAAGCTAACTCTGGGACTCCATTCTCTCACTAAACATGTCAATCATGGGTGACACTGGCCATGTTTAGGGGCAGAGGCCACACCCTTAAGAACCTCGGCTTTCTGCCACTCTCTTATATTTATTGGTTGTGAGCCGAGCTTTTAATGGCTGAGCTATCTCTCCAGCCCTTCCACCACTCTCTATCTGTGTGAACTCAGGCAATGTAGGCAACTTCTCTGAGCCTCAGTTTCCTTATCTATAAAATGGGTATAAATAACATCAGTGTCCCCTTCATAAGCTTGTTGGAAGGATTAGACATGTTAGTGCAAGTCAAGCATGTGGATGAGTGTCTAGCATACAGTAAGTGCTCTGTAAGTCTCTGTTAGCACTCAGCACTGTTGTCACAGAGGTGTCATGGGAGCTGCTTGGCTGGCTAGTGGTGGCCATCATACCGTGCTCCAATCTGCCCAGGCTTCCTATTTAGCATGCACCTTCTGAGGCTCGTAGGGCTAGCAGTCATTGCTAGGACTCCTGATCCTCCAATCTGTGGGCCAATCTGGGCTGGTCCCACTAAGCCAAGCAGAGGCCACAGAGAACTCCTTTAAATGGCCTGGTTCCTAAAACCAAAAGGAAGGGGCGTGAGCATCTCCATGTGCTTTGGCTTCTGGGCAGAAGGAATGGGGGACGTGGCCTTCCCATTTGGAGACCTGTGTCCACCTACTGGGTGCTCTTGATCTCCACAGGGAGCCTCATGCGGAGCCCAGAAGGGCCTCTGCAGGACCTGCCGCCTTCCGTGTCTCTTTGCCTGGGCTCTAGGGCTCTTCGGGAAATGAGCCAGCACTGTCATCCTCAACTGTTGTTCTGCTCAGTGGGGGAAAAGATGCATTCGTCCTTTGTACACACACACACACACACACACACACACACACACACACAGAGGCCAGGCATGAGCCTCCTCTATAGACTTCCCCAACCTTGAGAAGAGAGCAAGAAAAAGCTTTCCCCAGACACCAAAGTGTCACTAGGAGAAGCCGATGGTACATGGGCACCTCTCTGTCCACATCCAGGTGAAGGTGAGTCCTAGATGTGGGCTTGGGCATCCTCACATCATCCCTCAGCTATCCAGATTGGCTCCGGGAAGCTTTGTGTATGCTCAGAGAGGGAAGCAGCAGAGGGCATGGTGGACAGGAAAGGTGGAGCAGAGCACCCCAACATGCTGAGAGAGCACCCCAACATGGTGGGAGAGCACCCCAACAAAAGGCAAGAAGTGGACTTTGGCACCACACAATCTGAATTCAAATTCTGATACCAATGCAGCTTCCTAGCTCCTTGGAGACCCAGTTTCCTGATCTGAAAAATACGGCACATTGGCCAAAAATGGAGGAGACAGACTAAGACACAGGGGAGAGAGATGAACCCAAAGCCCAGCCTGGAAACCCCAGGAGACCAGTCAGTTCCTCCCGTTGGTTTTACTTGTGAAGGTCATCCTGTGACCTCAGTGACAGGAGTAAAACCCCTAACCTCCTGGGGTGTGCATGCCCAAGTCTGTTCTGCATTTCATGTCCTTCTTCTCCTGCCCTGGTGTCCCCCCAGCTAGAGGCCTGTGTGCCTGGCCACACCCTCATTTTAAACCTTCAGTTGTCATTCCTTTTGTTTTTGAATTATTAAAACAAAATTACACAGAAGAGTAGTCTCAGAAGGGAAAATTAAATATTTTAGATGTTAACAACTATTCTAATAATAATTAGAAGTAACTTTTGGAGCACAGGAATCAGGGAAGAAAAACCCTTTCTCAGAAATATTATTAGTGACTATTACCCTTTTGGCTTTTGGCAATGTCCTTGCATGGCTTTTGTACTATGCTGAAACAGACGTGGAACTTACAGAATCAAACTTCCTAAGGCTGGGAAGGTATGTCTGAGATCAACTCTAATATGTTAAAGATACAAGAGCGAAGAGGAAACCACTATAGCCATTACAGTAAACTCATGGCAGGCATTAAATGGGGTGGGGATGGAGAGGGTCCCCGGCCTGTCCCTCCTGCTCCTGACTGGTGTGACAGTCTATCATTTACAAAACGGCCAGGCAGTTGAAGACATCCCAGCCCAGCTGGGCTCCTGAGGGGGGCTCCAGCCTGCACTGTGGCTGGACACTCACCTCTTTATGGCTTTGTAGCAAATGATGACCAGCACAGTCAGAAACACCAGGGAGGCACAGACGACAGCAACGATGATCACCAGACCCGACCACCAGCTGTCCTCCGCAGGGCACGAGGTAGAGTTGGGAGCTGAAAGACACTAGAGTCTGAGTTTCTCTGAGTGAGCGAGGTGGTTCTGTGTGATACTGACGATGGAGTGTCGCCCACAACCATCCATCACCCTGAAGAAGGCCCTCTGACCTTTCCTGTTTTCCCTACCCCCACCTCAGCAGGTGACATCATGCCTGGCCCCCAGCCAGCCCCTCCCCCATTCAGCGCCTCCATTGCTCCTTGGCAAGCTCAGAGCAGGGTTGAGCTTGAGCGCCTGGCTAAGCAGGCCTCCATCCTCCCAGGCATGAGCTAACTGACAGCAGGGTCGGGTTTAATTTCCCATGAAAAATAACAGAACATCTCATTCTCTCAGTCAAGGCATTAAATCCGGTGCGACTGTGGTTGGGGGTGGGGTGGCGGGCTTGCAGGGAACTTAGGAGGAGAAAGGAGGAAGGCTGGCCCCTCAATGTGTTTCGGAACTGAGCTTCTTGTGAGAGGCTCACTCTTTGTGCCTGGATCTGGTCCAGGTGATGCTACCAGCAGCTTTCTCGGTGTGCCTGGAAGGGGCCAGAGCATGGGAAGGTGCGTGACCATCACACCTTCTGACACCTGACTCTACCACCTCTCCTTACCCTACCCAGGAGGAGTCAGTCCTTAGGGTAAGCCTGTTCCCTCTTGGGTCTGGGCAGTATTGGTGTTCACCTGGAGTATAGGTCTAATCGACTGTTTACTTCCCTGTGAGTAAGGCAAAGACAGCCCAGCCCCATCCCACAGGCTTGGGAAGAAGGAGATGCTACAAAGAAAAAGGAGGTGCTGGCATTATAAAAGGAGGAGGGGAGGGGAGGGAGGGGAAAGAGGCATGAGAGCAGAGGGAGGGTGAGGGAGGAGAGACTAGACAGACCATACTGGCAGACAGTTCTAGAGAAGTCCTCAGTGTATGTGAAGATCTGCACGAGAATCAAGTCTGTGTCCCCAGCTCTGTCCCCTCAGTACTAGTCACTCTGAAGGAGACAACAGCAGTTGAAGATGACTGGAGGACACCAGGATGTGTCCAGGGGAGATTCCCGCCTGTCAGTACAGTATCTGACAGCTGGGTCAGATCTCTACACCAGAAGAAGCCACGCCCAGTATTCCCAATACTTCCAAAATATCCCAGTCTCTTCCTCAATAACCCCTAACTGGGGGACAACCATCTAATCATTGATAAAATATAGATAAGACTTGTTTGTTCCGGGCATTCATAAAATCAGGTGATAAGCACAATTCTTTTCTCCTTTATATTTGCTTTATTTATTTAGCAATGTTGGGGATTCACTTAGGTAGCTTCATAGTTTCGTAGTTTTTCCTTTTTTTTTTTTGTTGATGAATAATATCCCGCCCCCCAGCCCCAGCCCCATGTTCCTATGCTACAACTATTTGTCCATTTACCGGCGAATGGGCTCCTAGGCTGAAGATTTTCGGTCTCTAGGAAAAGCTGCCATAAACATCTGTGAAGGAATCTTTTGTATAGACAGTTTCATAGTCCTCTTGGGTAAACACATGTTATAGATGGGCCTTGTGTGTGTGTGTGTGTGTGTGTGTGTATGTGTGTGTGTGTGTGTGTGTATGATTAACATTGAAAGCAAACACCTAGATGTCTTTCCCAGATGTTCATACTCTGGTACTCTCCCAGGCAGAACCAAGAAGGAGAAGAGGAGATAGAGAAAAGAGAGTGAACACATCATGGGATCCAGGAAGACATTCTCTGGCTCCCAGGGGATGGGGACTGCCCATTAACAAACACACAGTCCCCAGAGAGGATCTCAGCTCTCCTCAGAGAACCAGAGACACTCTGGATGAAACAGCTGAGACAAGGACACTACCGGGCTGCTGTCAGCTGGGAGGAGCTGGCCTTGGGTACTCAGTCCCCACATAGTCCCCACACAGTGCCGGAGAGCCAGAAGGATGCTTGGGTCTCATGCTCCCATCCATGAGCTCATTCAATGATTTTGTTGATAACATCAAACTCCAAGTCTTTCCCTTTGGGAGCACTCTTGAGTCTTCCTAGGGTGACTTTAGCTGGACTCTCCCATGGCGACACTGAAAACCCACAAAGGTTTGCCCTTCCTTTTTGTGGAAGAGAATGCTCTTTTATCCACTTCTGACTATGCCCCAGCCTCTGACCTGTCTGGGCACATCCCCAGGGTCATTCCACCCAGCCTGCAGCTGCAGTCTTCCTGTGTGTGTGGTCTCAGTGAGTGGTTACACCTGGGGATGGTTATACCTGGGAGTGGTTACACCTGGGAGTGGTTACACCTAGGAGTGATTACACAGAATTTGGAAGCACAGGAAGGGGAAGGTGCTCTCTTTGGTCACCACAGCAAATTAATCCATCAGCTAGGGGTGTTAACAGTGATGTACCTAAGTTAGAATTGTCCCTCAAAGGTGCCAGAAAGGCCCTCCTTAGAAAGTCCATCCACAGGACAGGTTGCAAAGCTCAGTCTGGAATTTGGCAGGGCCTCCCTTCCTTACACTCTGCTGGTGGGGCGGGGATTTTCCTTTTATGGTCATGCTTCACAGCATTGGTAATAGAAGTAGCTAGCTCTGGTTATGTGCCCTTCTGTCTGAGACCCTGTGGGACTCGGCAGGTGCAGATGAGCGCTCTATGTATGGATGGCAACCCAAGGCAGAAACACTGCGTCTGCAAAGAGGAGGTATTTCAAGAGACCTGGTGGCATAAAACATAGATTTTGGTCACAAAACCAGAGATAGAGTTGGAGATGCTATTCGTATTTATCCTTGCTTGAGTTGATTAGAAAATTCCAGAGCTGGAGGGAGCCTGGGTGTTCTCATTTCAGGAAAGAGAATAAACATTGGAGCAACTTACATGAGGGCTAGAGTGTGGCCCTCAAGACCTTGGAGCTGCCCACTAGCCTGGTTACTGCCTCAGTTTCCTTCAGTACCTATGTTGAGATGGTAAATGCTCACCACATGGGCAGGCTAGAGGCTCAGATTTAGAGGCTGCTTCCTGACAGTGCTCTTTCATGCATGCATTCCCCTAGACATGTATTGAGCATGCTCGGTGCCCAATCCTAGGAGCTGGGGGTACAGAGATGAATCAGACACAAGCTGTCCTCTGCCAGACCTGGCGCCAGCTGCCCGGGGATGATTATAAAGCTGACTAAGACCTGCTCTTCTTGCATGAGGAGCCAGAAGTCTCCAAAAGAAGCTGCACACAATGATTGCCAATATGCAAGGGAAGGGCAACCTGCACATTGAGTTGGCAATCCTGGGTGACAGGCAGGTGGCCAGACGGGGAGTGTCAAGCACCAGGAAAGAGCTGCCTCAGTCTCTGTTGTCTCTGTCACTACCTTTGAACATGACAGAAAGGCAGAAGCTGTCTGAAACCTCAGGGGTCACGTCACCATTTCCTGAACCTCAGTGAAGTTGACATATCAGCCAACTCTCCTGACCCCGTTCAGATGACGAGACAGGCAGCTAGGAGGACACTGCAAAAGGGCCCAGGCTAAAGTCTGCTGTGTCAAGAGAGTCTCATTCTTTTTAGTCAGCCCATGCTGCATTAAAGGGCTGGGAATACTCCGCCTGGGCTAGGCCCTGGATACCATGGTTAAAGGCTTTGGGATTTCTGCCTCCAGGCAACAAGAGGTAATGAAGTGGATTTGGCTAGCTCACCCAAACATCCAGAACATTCAAAATATGTGAAACAATGGGCAATGGTAACAAGATGACAGTCCTTAAATAATTTAAGATCTGGAGCTCTGAAGCCATTAGAGGAAGATGCTTTGAGATGTAGGCACAGGCCAGGACTTTCCGAAAGGGACTCCGAGCCCAGGAGATAATCCTAAGAATTGACTGTTTGCAATTGTGTGACATTAAGAATCTTTTGCACAGCAAAGGAAGCAATCATCAGAGCAAAGAGATGGCCTGCTGAAAATCCTCATCAGCTGCACAGCAGATGGGATTAACATCCAGACTATATAAAGAACTGAACAAAATAGACAAACCACCCGATCAATAAACGGGCCAATGAGCTTTTAAATAGAGTTCTCAAAAGAAACACAAGTGGCCAATAAATACTCAAAAAGGTGTCCAACATCCTGAGCCATCAAGGAAAAGCAAATTACAATGACTCTGAGATTCTTTCTCATACCCATCTGAATGGTTATCCCCAAGAAAACAAACGACAGCAAATTCCAGGGAGGATATGGGGAAGAGGAACTGTGACCCTGCTGGCAGAGTGTGAAGGGTGCAGCCACTGTGGGAATCAGCACCGATGCTTCTCAGAAACCTGAGAGCAGGAATATCATCTAACTCAGCTGTGTCACTGGGTACATGCCTGGAGGAATCTACTCCTTCCACGGACACACCTACATATCCATGTTCATGGCTACACTGTTTACATTAGCTAAGAACCAGCCTAGATGCCCATCAACAGATGAACTGCTAAAGAAAATATGGCCCATTGCACAATGGGACTTTTTTTCAGTTGTAAAGAAAAATAAAATGTTTACATCGGGGGCGGGGGAGGATGAAATCAGAGATCATTAAGTGAAACGAACCAGATTCAGAGAGACAAATGGTTTTCTCTTGGATGCATAGTTAAAATCTCTCTCTCTCTCTCTCCCACACATGTGCATGAATGTAGTCTGTGAGGGTAGAGGATGAGAGGAGAGGAAGAGATCTCTCCTAAGGGAGGGGTGGGGAGAAGGAGAGGATGTAAAATACATTCGGTGTGAGAGCAGAATAGAAGTCTATTGGGGGCGGGGAGGGGATGGAAAGAGTGGGGGAGGGGAGAGAGGATGAATGAGAACAAGAGATGTATGGAAAAGCCACAATGAAGCCTGTGGTCTTGTACGCTAACTTAAGATGATGATAGCAATGACTATGATTATGATGGTGGTGGCAAGGGAAGAGGACAATGACAATGATGATGGACAGTAATTCCCTGCTTTCTGCCTCAAGGAATTTCTAGAGCAGCATAGGAGGGAGGAATACAGGCAGTGACCGGGACAGAGGTGGTCCCTGCCCTAGGCAGTTCT